ACTGTTGTAAAAATTAAAAATCTATATTAATAAAAAATCTGAACTCAGCCTTATAAATGATACACAGAGAATATTTCTAGACAAAAGTTTTAAAGCAAATTAAAGTTCTTTCATTACAATACAGGCTGCCCCAATGGCTCAGGGGTAAAGAATCTGCCTGCAGGGTGGTAGGACACACAGGAGACTCAGGTTCGATCCCTGGGTGGGTCTGGAAGATCCCCTGAAGAGGAGCCTGGCAGACCACAGTCCATGGGGACCTCCACCATTGCAATAACTTTAAAGTTTTTTTTTTTTTTATTTCAAATCCAAAGTTCTGGGTTAATAATGTAGTTAAACATTTTTTTTCTTATATTTGTAAGTATTTATGCTACATTTCAGACAGTTTGGGCATCTATTCATTTTGAGATAAGAAGATAAAGATCAAGTTTAAGATCAAGAATATTTAAGGAAGATCAAGAGCAGAGAAAACAAGGGTAGAAAGAGAGTTCACAGAGACAGGAAGAGATCAGATCATGTAGGGCTTTATGATCATGTAGGTTTTATATGCTATGTTATGTTTTTACAAATCATTCTAAGGGTTTCGAATGAAGGAATAGCATAACCTAATTTACATTTCTTTGAAAGTTCACTAAGGCAACTATATGGTGAATACAAAGTTTAGAACTAATGGTATAAATTAGGAAGCTATTGCAATGGTCTTTTTGAGAGAAATGGTGGTTTGGCCTAAACTGGGGGCAATAGATAGTGGTTTGGTATAGATATATTTCACAAGTGTAACCGATAGTTTGCTGCTGGATTTGATTCATACTGTGTAGGAGAGGGGGAAAAATATTTTTCCCTTTGAATTCTTGGCTGAGACTTCCTATAAACAAGTTCAAAATCACCAAATTTTTATTAACATGTATACCTCATGTGTATATGAGAGACACTTAGGAAAAATGAATAAGCTCCTCAAGATGACCCAAGCCACCACCTTACATATGATCTTTGTTGCTGTTCAATTGCTAAGTCAAATCTGAATCTCTGCCACCCCACGGACCACAGCACACCAGGCTCCTCTGACCTCTGCTCTCTCCCTCAGTTTTCTCAAATTCATATCCATTGAGTCAGTGATACTGTCTAACCATCTTATCCTTGGTCTCCGCCTTCTCCTTTTGCCTTCAGTCTTTCCCAACATCAGGATTTTTTCCAATGAGTCAGCTCTTCACATCAGGTGGCCAAAGTATTGGAGCTTCAGCTTCCACATCAGCCTTCCAATGAATGTTCAGGGTTAATTTCCTTTAGGATTGACTGATTTGATCTCCTTGCAGTCCAAGGGACTCTCAAGGATCTCCAGGATGACAGTTTTAAAAGCATCAATTCTTTGGTGCTAAGTGTTCTTTATGGTCCAAGTCTCACATCCATACATGACTACGGGAAAAACCAAAGCTTGACTATGCAGACTTTAGTTGGCAAAGTGATGTCTCTGCTTTTTAATATACTGTCTAGGTTTATCATAGCTTTTTTTCCAAGGAGTAAATGTCTTTTAATTTCATGGCTCCAGTTACCATCCTCAGTGATTTTGGAGCCCAAGAAAATAAAATCTGTCAATGATGGTACCAGATACTTAGATTTTTTAATGTTGAGTTTTAAGTCATCTTTTTCACTATACTCTTTCACCCTCTTCACAAGGTTTTTTAGTTCTTCACTTTCTGTTAGAGTGGTATAATCTTCATATCTGAGGTTGTTGATATTTCTCCTGGCAATCTTGATTCCAGCTTGTCATTCATCCAGCCTAGTATTTCACATCATGTACTCTGCATAGAAGTTAAATAAGCAGGGTGACAATATACAGCCTTGTCACATTTCTTTCCCAGTTTTGAACCAGTCCGTTGTTTCATGTTCAGTTCCAACTGTTGCTTCTTGACCTGCATACAGGTTTCTTGGAGACAGGTAAGGTGGTCTGGTTTTCCCCTCTCCTGAAGAATTTTCCACAGTTTGTTGTGATCCACACAGTCAAAGGCTTTAGTGTAGTCAATGAAACAAAAATAGATGTTTTTCTGGAACTCTCTTGCTTTCTCCATGATCCAATGCATGTTTGCAATTTTATTTCTGGTTCCTCTGCCTCTTTGAAAGTCAGCATGTATATCTAGAAGTTCTTGGTTCATGTACTGCTGAAGCCTAGCTTGAAGGATTTTGAGCATAACCTTTCTAACATGAAATGAGCTCAATTGTACAGTAGATTGAACACCTTTGGGGACTGAAATGAAAGACAAAACAAAGTTGTATGAGGGCAGCAGTTTGGGGCATTAGTTTTGCCATTAGAAGTTTTCCCAAAAAATGCATAAGTAAACCAAGGTAAGGGACCTCCCCAGTGGCTCACAGGTAAAGAATCCACCTGCAATGCAGGAGATGCAGGTTTGATGCCTGGGTCTGGAGGATGCCCTGGAGAAGGGAATAGCAACCCACTCCAGTATTCTTGGGGGGAAAATCTCATGGACAGAGGCTGGTGGGCTATGGTCCATGGAGTCACAAAGAGTCAGGCATGACTGAAACCACTGAACACAATGCAGATTAAAGTGGGTGCTTTGTCTCACTTTTTTTTTTTTTAAACAATTTAGAATTGTCCTCCTCTGCTTAGTATGGAAAGGGAGACATAAATGGAGCTTTCCTCTATAAGTATCTCTTACAAAAGTATAATTTTTGTTTTCAGAAATTCTCCTGTCTATGCTATTTCTCAAAAATAATTAGTTCAGAATCATCCTTAGGACAAGAGAGGTGGCATAGTTTGGGAGGGCATGTTCAGCTACACTTCAACTGTGAAAGAACAAAGATATAAAGAAAATACTTGATTTAAACTAAAGTTTATTTTGACCTATTAAGTCAGTTACTATGTATTTTTTAAACATAGTATTGTATAAAATATTATACAAAAGGAAGAGCATTGTATTTTTATAATACATTGTATCTTAATAGAAAAATAAACCTTTGTCTCTCAATTTCAGAAATTATAAAAAATCTGACAAACTTTTCACATATACATCCATTACTAGTCTTGCAATCACTAGCTGTTATGCAAAAACTCATGAAATCAGATAGGGAGGGAGGCTAGTAGTTAGTGGGAATTTTACTGATTTTTTTTTTTTTAAGTAGAGAAGGGTTTGTAAAATATATTCCAGTTAACTAATGTTGGGAAAATATAATTTAAAATGAGAAAACTCATTATTGACTAAGCTTCATGCTTATTCAAACCATTGTGCCCAACACAGGCAACATTTTATTAAAGAGATTTCAAAAAGAGAAAAAAAAGACTGTTACATAGGTAAGAGGATACATCCATTACACTAGTAGGCTTTGCAATCTGGAGTCGGAGCACTTTCCCTTGATCACATTTCAAAAAGAGGACTCTAAGGTCCTTGAGGATACATTCTTGAGATAGGAGGCTAGCCAAAGGGTGTTTTTAGCCATTAAGAAAATTTACATACCTTTGAAAAGGACCGAGAAAAAATTTTTGAAGGAGAAAAAGGAAAGGGAAGGGACCCTCAGGGATAATTAAACTCTTATTTTCAATTTATATTTGCCCTTAAATTAACTTGAATTAATCTATACTAGCTATCTACCCCCTCTATAAAATATACTGAATTTTGTTCCTGTTATTTGAATCAGTTTTGTTTTCTCAAAACTTTTTATTAATTTCATAAAATGATAGTTTATAGGAGTCCTCTGAAAATTCTATAATGCAAGCTTGCTAAAACTAACTCACTGAAATAAAGAAAATCATTGAATAACAATAGGATTACATTCTAATGCTGAAAGGCGGGATTAAAATTTCTCAGAATTTAAGTAATAGTTAAATTATAAATATATTTTAAATTAAGCATGTATAAACAGGAATGTTTAATCTTTTTTTATAAAGAATTTCTTCGAAAGACAAAGGTAGACTTTCTTTTCTCTGTATTTGAATTTTGTACTATTTACTAATGAAAAATTAACTGATCTTCTAATTAATGAAAGTAAATTTTTTAAAAATTATATGTTACCTAGAAACACATCTACAAGACAAAGACTCAGATTCAGTATTTTTCAGCTTAGGAGGACAAACTATTTCAAAAATAACAAATTTACCCTAATAAATGTATAGATTTAATAGTTAAGAGTACTAAAAGAACTGCGTTCTTGCAGCTAGATAGAATGATTTTTTTAAGAATAGTATAATAGCAAAAATTAATTTGAAATAAACAATTGTGAGACATGAGTTCACTGGCAAATACTTATATTTCAACATTACCAAAATCTAAAACTCTAGAGCACTATAATAGATCAGAACAATAAAAACTCTAGAAACAATTTTAAGTGAAATAATAAATGATCAGTTAAGTTCCTCCAATCAGTGGAGAAAGCATTTATTACGTTATACTTATTAGCCAGCTAGTTAATTTTTTAAAAGTTAATTATCTACACAGAAACCAAATCTAGATCATTATAGAGTTCGTTTTTTTAACGGTTCTACACATTATCAGCAAAATAATAGGAACTTATTAAAAATGAAAATTGACACTGAATAAAGAAAATTTAGCAATATACCTGGAAGGTCTTAAAATTCTCTATTTTATTAGAACAACTTGTTCCATTTCTGTAAGTTACTATGTTTCCATATTTTAGGAGAAAAACAAGATATAACATTATACAAATACTATTAGAGAAAGTAAAAATAAAAGCACAATTTTTATTCTGTGCTGTTTTATGTATCATCTACAAGGTTAAGATTTTGTTATTTAACGAGGATGAGGAAACACATTAAATGAGAAAAAGGGGAGAAATACAGCCTAGGCCTTGAGGAATCAAAATTCACTGAAAGAACAGACAGGGAGTAATATGGCTGGCTTGCTTCTTTAAGAACCCTCCCCCAACCCAAAGGGCTTCCCGCCAAAGCACTTTGGGTTTTCATTCTGGTCCGCAGACTCTGCGCATTAAAGAGGCTGCGACAAACCGAAGGTACTTTACTGTTGTCGGGTCTCAAAATGTCCGGACGTGGTAAGAGTGGAAAGGGTTTGGGGAAGGGGGGCACTAAACGTCACCGCAAAGTTTTGCGAGACAACATCCAGGGCATCACTAAGCCCGCTACTCGCCGCCTGACTCGGCGTAGAGGAGTCAAGCGCATCTCTGGGCTCATCTACGAGGAGACCCGCGGGGTGCTGAAGGGGTTCCTGGAGAATGTGACCCGGGATGCAGTCACCTACACCGAGCACGCCAAGCGCAAAACTGTCACCGCCATGGATGTGGTCTACGCGCTCAAGCGCCAAGGACGCACCCTCTATGGCTTCGGCGGCTGAAAGGAAAAAAGTTTGATCTTCCTTGCTTACTCAAAAGCCCTTTAGGGTCCGCAAGTTTTCGTCCAAAGATCTGAAAACACAGTTCACAGAACAAAAGGATTTAGCAATAGCAGCCAATATTTTCCCCCAGAACGCTGCGGGGTTATACTGAGGTATTGTTTTGCCAATAACGCATGAAGTCAAAGATGAGCAAAGTTGGAGTACGTGTTTACAGTTCTTTTATATTGACAATTTAGTGGCTCTTAAAAGAGCCTTTGTGGTGGGTCTAAGGGTGACTGCTGTACAACTTTACTTGGCGCTGGTGTACTTGGTGACGGCCTTGGTGCCCTCAGACACCGCGTGTTTGGCCAGTTCCCCGGGCAGCAGCAGGCGCACGGCCGTCTGGATCTCCCTGGATGTGATGGTCGAGCGTTTGTTATAATGAGCCAGACGCGACGCCTCACCAGCGATGCGCTCGAAGATGTCGTTAACGAAAGAGTTCATGATGCCCATGGCCTTGGACGAGATGCCGGTATCCGGGTGAACCTGCTTCAGCACCTTGTACACGTACACAGAGTAGCTCTCCTTGCGACTACGCTTGCGCTTTTTGCCGTCCTTCTTCTGCGCCTTGGTTACCGCCTTCTTGGAGCCCTTTTTCGGGGCTGGAGCAGACTTCGCTGGTTCTGGCATAGCTGAAGAGACTCACACCGTAGTCTAGAACACAAACCAAAAAAGAATGACAAACACGCAAAGTGCCTCTTTTATATAGAACCACCTATGCAAATAAGGTCATAGGTTAAAGTCTTAGTCGATTGGTGGCGGTTGAAGAAGACGTCAGAAATTAGTTATGCCCAATCAGAACGGAAGAATTCCAATTTCTCATTCCCATTGGTTAAAATGAAGCCCACTAACCTAACCAATCACACGTCTTCTTTTTCGCGCCCAATTAGGCTTATAAAAGGCGCTGCACTTGTAGTTATGTTACCGAATTGGACCGCGCTGCGCTTGTGGGTTACGAAATGTCTGGACGTGGGAAGCAAGGTGGCAAGGCTCGTGCTAAAGCTAAAACCCGTTCCTCGCGGGCTGGGCTCCAGTTCCCTGTAGGTAGGGTACATCGCTTGCTCCGCAAAGGCAACTATGCTGAACGGGTAGGTGCCGGGGCTCCGGTGTACTTGGCGGCAGTGCTGGAGTACCTGACGGCTGAGATCTTGGAGTTGGCGGGCAATGCGGCCCGCGACAACAAGAAAACGCGAATCATCCCGCGTCATTTGCAGCTGGCTATCCGCAACGATGAAGAGCTCAACAAATTGCTGGGAAAGGTCACCATTGCTCAGGGTGGTGTCTTGCCGAACATCCAGGCTGTGCTACTACCTAAGAAAACTGAGAGCCACCACAAGGCCAAATAAAGAGTTTAGGAAAAGTGAAGAAAACAAAGGCTCTTTTCAGAGCCAACCTACACTGTCAAAGAAAAAGCTGTGATTACTGTCTATTTTGAGTGGTAAGGTTGCAGGATGCTTACACTGAGCGTGTGAAGTAGTTTTGGCGCTTCAAAATACGGTCTGAATTGACGTTAACGTGGACTAATAAGTTCACGAGAGGCTTACTTAGAAGCCCGGAGATGAATCAACAGGTAATTTCTTGAAACCAGATAACCCTAATGTTGCCTACTAGTGTTATAAGTAGTCTACATGGGAGGCACTGGTTACTTTTAGGAAACATTTAGCAGTATTGAGTATAGTAGAAAAATTCTTTGAGGAGCATTTTGAGTAAGTGACCTGACTAAAGGATGGTTTATCACGTGAAATCCTTGAGTTCTGCTTACTTTCATTTTCTTGAGGATTTATCCTAATGGGAAATTGGTTTGTCGATTAAAATTATACAGTAATTTCCTAATATCATGTAAATCCTTGAACCTATTTCTTTAGGATACACATATGCATTGAATGCACTCCTGTGTAGACAGTCAATGCGACTCAAAATCTGCCTCCCTGGAAGTTATCTGTTTAGTGCGTGCGTGCTGTCGCTTCAGTAGTCTACGACTGCGACCCCATGAATTTAGCCTGCAAGTCTCGGTCCATGAGATTCTCCAGGCAAGAATACTGGAGTGGGTTGACATGCCGTCCTCCAGGTCATCTTTCCCACCCAGTGATCGAACCCAATGATCTTTCTTAGGTCCCCTGCATTGGCAGGCAAATTCTTTACCACTGGTCGACCACTAGGTGAGGGAGCCATAAGTAAAGACATAAATATGTAATACAATATTCCTGTGAAGAACATAGGGAGGAGTTAAGTAATAGAGCATAATCAGGACTCATTTTATAAGATAATCTCTTTTAAAGGAGTTACCTGATCAGAGACCTACATAAATTGAAAAAGAAACAAGACAGATATTAGAAAAAGAAAATTTTAAGTAGAAGTAATAAAGTGCAAAAGCCTTAAGACAGAAAATATGTTTTTCTTGGGAACAACCAGAAGGCCCATGAGGTTATGAACTTGAAGGGGGAGGGCCACTATAATATAGGACTTTGGCTGTGCAACTTAATGTGTATAAGTAATCAAAAACAATAGCAACCCTGATCTTTTGAGATAATAAATAGAAAAAGTATGAAATCCAACCCACTTAAAAAGAAAAAGACACCATAGAATAGTAGTGTCCTCACCTTATTATGTGGCTCAAAAACAAAGATTTTGGAGAACATTCTTTATAATTCAGTACAGGATTTATTTGCTACTCCTAGTCTTTGTTTGCAGAAGCCTTTTTGAATGAAATGATAGTAAAATGCAAGAGGCCAAGGAAAAAAACTATGATGATATAGTGGTGCAGGTTGGGTTCCCTAGAAGCAGATGCTTGAGATAGTTTGGGGTTCAAGATGTTTATTAGGGAGCAACATTGGTAGAGGAAGGAATAGGATTGGACAGAGAATGTCAAACTGTAATACAGGCCAGACAAACGTGGGGAGAAATGAAGCCTATATTACCTTTCAGAGTTGCCCCACATTGGGTGAGAATGTCCTCGGGTCAGGTTTTACTGCCCCACCTTGCTTTGCCACTGATGTGGACTGCACTAGGAAAGGGCGTGAAACACTGGGAACTCTGGGAACACGGGAGACAAGAACTGGTGCCTACCTACTCAGTGCGCTCTGCAGTTGGGCAGCAAGTCTTTCCTTGGTGGGGATCAGGCTACTGCATCTGCTTGTCTATGACATACATTAACATGAATATAAATATCAATGTTCAGTTCAGTTGCTCAGTCATGTCCTACTCTTTGCGACCCCATGAACCACAGCACGCCAGGCCTCCCTCTCCATTACCAACTCCCAGAGTCCACTCAAACCCATGTCCATTGAGTCGGTGATGCCATCCATCCATCTCATCCTCGTCCCCTTCTCCTCCTGCCCTCAATCTTCTCCAGCATCAGAGTCTTTTCAAATGAGTCAGCTCTTCACATCAGGTGGCCAAAGTATTGGAGTTTCAGCTTCAACATCAATCCTTCCAATGAATACCAAGGACTGATCTCTTTTAGGGTGGACTGGTTGGATCTCCTTGCAGTCCAAGGGACTCTCAAGGGTCTTCTCCAACAACTGAACTGAACTAAACTGAAATGTCAATGTTGAGTCATGTCTATGATAGTATTTGTAAAACTGACTTTAGTATGCATAGCTAGTATTGTTTCTTTATTTTCATTGGGGGAACTTAAAAGAGATGTTTTCTTTTGAGAAAAATAAGAAAACTTTCTATAAATCTTTACTAATTCCAGGTACTCCAATAAGATTTTAGATGCCTTAATCATTGCAAATGGAAGGTGATATAAAATAATAAGGAATATGAGAGGGTCATTGGAATGGACCCTGATGCTGGGAAAGATTAAAAGCAGGAGAAGAAGGGGATGACAGGGGATGAGATGGTTGGATGGCATCACTGACTTGATGGACATGAGTTCAAGCAAGCTCCAGGAGTTGGTGATGGACAGGGAAGCCTAACGTGCTGCAGTTCATGGGGTTGCAAAGAGACTGAGCGACTGAACTGAACTGATGAGAGGATCTTCCACTGGGCTTCTCTCCCTTCTCCAGGTCCTTGGAAGGAAGGGCGTAGGGCACAGCCTTTAAAAGAATGACATAGCCATAGGACATGACAAAGACTGGTTAGAACCAACGGGATCCAAAGATGGCAGACGATTCAACTTCCAGGAGACTTTGAGCCTCATATGCTCATTGTAATATTTTAACAGTTAAATGACACACCCACTAGCGCCATGACAGTTCTGAAGTGAAAGTCACTCAGTTGTGTCCAACTCTTTGTGACCACATGGACTACACAGTCTGTGAAATTCTCCAGGCCAGAATACTGGAGTGGATAGCCTTTCCCTTCCACGGGGGATCTTCCCAACCCAGGGACTGAACCAGGATCTCCTGTATTACAGGCAGATTCTTTACCAGCTGAGCCACAAGGCCAGTTCTGAGGCTAACTGAAAAAGGTCAAAAAGTGGGTGGTGGCCCAATTCCTGGAAATATCTGCCCCTTTCCCAAAATAACTGGAATAATCCACTCATTAGCCTATGAAATTACCCTGCCCATAAACTAACCATGCCATATTTATGGACTCACTGTCCGTCTCTCCCTTTCCCCTCAAGGCCTCCTAAGTTGGAGGTATAAGTTGCAGTACACAGCCATCCAGTTCTACTAGAGCAAAATGCTCTACAAAGTCACTCAAAACAGGCCCAGGATTGTTAGCCCTTTGTTAACTGGTCATAGGGAGTTGACCAAGAGGTTATAAAAAAGAATTGGTTGAAGGAGAGGCAGCAACACAGTTCTCATTGAGTTACACGTGACTGTGATCCATGTGATCATTTTGGTCAGTTTTCTCTCATTGTGGTTTTCACTCTATCTGCCCTCTGATGGGTGAGGATAAGAAGTTTGTACAATCTTCCTGATGGGAGAGACTGGCTGTGGGGAAAACTGGGTCTTGCTCTGGTAGGCAGGGCCATGCTCAGTAAATCTTCAATCCAATTTTCCCCTGATGGC